TTGGTAATCAGTATTTATATCAGTGCCTAACTAAATCATATAGAATGGTGTCTCTGATTTTTTTAATCTCATATTCAGAAATTCGAACACAAATCTTTAAATAGAAATAAAAAAGTACTTACTACTCCGTCATAATCCCAGTAAATATAGTTGAACTACTTACTACTGCGTACTTTTACTATTTTTCAAATTAGACAGGTGAGGAGATTTCACACGATGTTTTGTACATGTCCATATCAGATGACGTCCAAACGCATCCTTATAAAAAAACAAACATATCATTATCGTACAATAACTTTATTATTTTGTATGTTGTTAATGTTTGATCTTTTTAGCCATATATGGGCGACCACCATAATGATAATTGACCAGCGCACTACTTTAATCATTCACAAAATTTTGCCCCAACTTGTTGAAAAATGAGCTACTGAAAAAAGTGCAATGTTTTATTTTCCATTTTTTCTTTTCTTTGGTGGGCGAACGAAGTAAAGTCATAATTTATGTGACAATTTATAATAATTATAAGATATATAAAAAAATGTATGATCAAAGATAAATTTGTTTAAATTTCGAAATTTAAAGAGTGTAACATAAATTACTACGATGGAGGGAGTATCTTTTTTTAAAAGTTTTTTCCTGTTGATTTGTTTCTATTCTTAATAAATTGAAAAGTTAGTATTTATTTAGTAATAATTTAATTTTAAAATAATTATTTCAATGTAAATGAAATGATTTGTAACAATACAAACATCTATGACTAATTTACGCAACAAATTTTATAAAAAAAAATCTTTCTTTCTGATTCATTATTAAGAAATTTATTTTTTCAAAAAAATAGAAAAATTAGGATATATTGAAAATATCTTTTTTTTTTAAATATCTTCCATCATATCAAACACACCTATTAGAGATTTTTTTGTAAGGAACAATTTATTTTTATAATAAAAAAAATAATCCTCTGAAAGGAATACAAACAAGGAAGTTAATTTTGATATGGAGTCGGAGTATGTGCGTAAGTCATAAACGATAAATACTTCAAATATTAATTTGATATAAATATCTGCTCTCAATGATTTTTTTAATTAAAGTTAAAATTAAGTAATAATGGTAGAACTTTAAGGTATTTTTGTAAACAAACGGTAAAAATTAAAATGTTTTGAGTTAAAATGAACGGGTAAAGTAAGACACGACCACGTGCCCCACAAACCAAGAAATATTTTTATTTCTTCAAAATATGGGTATCATGTTAGTAAAGTAATGATTGATTAACTGACATACTTAATAATTGCACACTTTATTCCGATAAAGTTAGCTTCTCATGACATTATTACAGGTGTTTCCTAATTTATTTTAATCTGTATTTATCTTATTTTTCGAAAAATATGTATCTATTTTGATCTTAGTCTTCAATTTTAATATGTTATACAATATGTTAAGATCATTAAATTAAAATAAATTATATTACATATAGTTTTTAATTTAAAAATTATAAATTACAAATATTATCTACCTTCTCTCAAACTCAGTGATAGGTCAAACTAAGGCAATTAAATTAAAATAAAGAGAATACTTCTTTCGCCTTGATTTATATTTTTTACTTTTCGAAAATTAAGTTAACTAATTTTATATAAAATTAAATGAACTTAAGATAATTAAAATGTTAAATATCTTAATACGTTTATAATAAGTACGATAAATGCAATCCGTCTCATTATATTTAAAATTTTTTCAAAGTTCATACTCCCTCTTGTTCTTTTTAGTTGTTAAGGTGGGTTTTTCAAGATTCAATTTGATTAACTTTTGAGGCGGCTAAATTTAATTACATTAATTAATATTTTTAAATAAAGATTTAGATATTTAAAAATTATAGTATAAATATTATAAATTGTAATTTTTCACATATCAACATGGTGAAAAATATATCTTAAAATATTAATCAAAAATTAGAAATAAGTCACGACAATATAAAACTCGTGCGAGATAAGTGTCAAATAATTGAAAACAAAAAAAAATATTTATAAATGATGAAAAATTATTTGTTAAATTGATATTTGCAGTATTTCACAAATTTATACATTATTTTGAAATTTAAATTACTAGAAAAAACTTGAAATTAACTATAAATCCCTGACAATAAAAGAAAAGAAAAGTCTCTCACGTTACTTATTTCACTTTAAAAAACATAACAGTCAAAGAGTTCCCATTACATTCACGCATCGTCGAATTAAAAAAACACAAGTGAAGAAAAATACTTCCTTCGTCCGCTTATATACCCCATCAGTCTCAATTTATACGATTTACTTTCTTTTTTAGTAAGTCTCAAAAAGAATGACATGTTTTTATATTAAGTAACAATTTAACTAAAAAATGTCTATTTTACCCTTAATGAAATGATTTATAGTCACACAATTTTCTATTATTCATTTCGGACCACAAATTTTAAAAGTTTTCTTTTCTTTCTTAAACTCCATGCCGAATCAAAATACCTCACATAAAATGAGACGGAGGGATATTACTTAATATTAATGTTTAATTAGTAATAATTAGTGTGTAAAATTAATATTTAATAAAAGATAAATAAAATAATTCGAAATTGTCAAGTTCCAAAGATGAAGAGACACATCACTATTGATCAGTTGTCAACTCAAATGTCACCTCTGAATAATCCTAACATATATATTACTCTCATTGTGTCACGCTTCTTCCATATCTACTCTTTCCTCCTTCCACCGCAATTCCGGTATTGTTTAATTCGGCATAAAATTTAAATTTAAAGTTATTTTATTTAATAAAGAATAACTTTTCTTATATGGCTACGTTTCATTAGAAGCAAAATAATTTTTTTAAAATTGATTAAATATAATTATGAAAAACTAAGATTCTATTACTTATAATAATAGCATAATATAGAGTTGTTTGAAATCAAACTTCAATTAATAATTTGATCTGATTTCTCTTTTCTTATCGGTAATTTGATCTGATTTCTCTTATCTTATTGGTAATGAATTATTGATTTACGAGTTTTGAAAATAATTTTATTTTTTTAATTTTATATTAAGTTGTCAATTTTTACGAGTTAATAGATAATCTAGTAGTAAATCAATAAATCATATTTATCTAATTTGATATATAAAGTCAAGAATTAGTTTTATACTTTTATTTATAATTGTCTCGTATTTTTGGCTATTTTACAAAGTGTCGTTATTTAATTTTGAGCATGATACAATCTACAACTCATATGTATATATAGTTCATTTGGCTTGTCACTTATTTCTAATTGATTTACAATTAAAAAAATTGTGTAAAATATTAGCGAATAAATCAACATACCAATTGTGATCAATAAATGATGAATTAATATCGTAATAATTTCATTATAATTTAACATATCTATAAATCAATTAATAAGCCATTAATAAAATTCAAATCGAATCGAATTGAACCAACCAACACGTAACTCCTAATATAAGAAGGTTATAGAGTGGAATCCCGAAATTATTCTTTCTGGATTAAATCCTAATATTTTAGAAGGATTGTTCTGATTTATATAACCAAAAGATATTTTATTATTAGTGAAGAGATAAATCTCATATAGACTTTTTGTTATTTTCCTCAATAGTACTGGAATGTTGCACTTGAAAGCAGAAGTTTTTTTTTTCACAGATAGAAGATTAAGCGTTTAAATAAAACCTCAATTTGAAAAGGTAAGATGACTGAATTAAATTATACTCCCTCTCTTTTGTTCAAAGTCAAATAGTATAAACTTTCACTAATATTTTAAGATATTATTTTCATTATATTAATATTAAAATAATTATAATTTATAATATTTTTCGTATTATTTTTTATTATCTAGAATTTTATTTTATAATATTAAATCAATATGATTTAGTTCTTAAATATGAGTCAAATTGACTCTTAAAAAGCACGGTAAGTCCGTAACAACTACTCACTCTATCCCTACTCACTTATTCATTTTTACTTAACAGACCTATTAAGAAATAATACTAATAGATATACTATGTTTATAATTTTACCCTATTGCTTTATTTGTCCATTTTTAATTGTTATGTTGCCTTTTTGAAAGTCAATTTGACTAATTTTCAAAGTTAAATTAGATTACATTAATTCAATATTTTTTTAAAAAAATTTAACTATTAAAAAACTATACGAAAAGTACTATAGTTATATTTTTTTTACATAGCAATATGATAAAAAAAATTACATCGTAAAATGCAAGTCAAATTTTTTATAGTTTAACTCTAAATAAGGAAACCATAACTATTAAAAGTAGACGGTGGGAGTGATTGATAGAATTTCAAAATCAATTTATTCATTAAATAGGTTTATTCTTTTCAAAAACATCAACTTTCTAAATAAATTTAAGGTATAATTCATTTACTCATTAAAAATAACAAATATAAAAGGATAAATAAAAAATCAAAAGGGAAAAAAACCATAGTGGAGGGAGTAAATATCCATAATCACGTGTTCAACTCAGCCGGTCGAAATAGTAGTAATGATGAGTTATTGTAAGATCCTTTTGGAACATAATCATCTTTTAAATACTTCGTTAATAAAATCCATTTCTGTTTTTCTTTTCTCAAAACAGGTAAGTGTAATTTTCATGGTGACTCTACTTGTAATTACTTATTGAACTGAAATTCACCAAAGAGGAAAATCAAAACAAAATGAAAGTGTTTCAGCCATGCATATTTTTCTATATAAGTATTCCTAGAAAAATAACAATCTTTCTTAGCATGTTTCATTTATTTTAGTTTAATCAAACACGTATTTCAACAATATATGAAACACTTTCAAATCAATTACTTAATTTATATGATTTCGACAAAAAAAATAATTATTTTCTTTAGCTAAAAAACTAGAGTGAAAACGTGTTAGAAGATAGAAAATGGGACCAGCAGCTAACCTTTCACACGGAATTGATTTAACAAATAAGAAACTCTTTCTTATCTTATACCATATATATATAAATGCAGAAGTATGTGATAATTAATCATCATGCCTTTTTCTTGCACTTGCTAAAAAGCAGCTGCATCTCCTTCCCATCATACTTGTTTGACTGTAGATCCACTTTTCAATTTTTTCATCTTTTTAATCAGCTTTTTTATCTGCTTACAAACCTTCAGTAAGTGAAGCGATGGAGCAAGAGATGGCGGAGTATCTTCCTTTAGATCGAGGATCTAAAACGGAGGATTCAGAGAAGCAAACTTCTTCACATTCTTCTCCGATTCCAATTAAAAGTAGAAAAAAGGGTGGATTTATTACCATGCCTTTTATCATAGGTACTGAACTAGTTCAAATATTTTGGGGATTTCTTTTGTTTTGTTTTGTAATTAAGTTAAGTTTATTTTTGAATTGTTACAGCAAATGAGGCACTGGAGAGTGTGGCGAGCTATGGACTTTTACCAAATATGACAAATTATCTGATGGGACAATACAGGATGGGGTTTACTACTGCTCAAAATCTTCTGTTTTTCTGGTCAGCTACTACCAATTTTTTGCCTATTGTTGGAGCTGTTGTTGCTGATTCATATTTAGGTCGATTCCTTACTATTGGCCTTGGTTCCATCTTCAGTTTCCTGGTAATTAACTAAAACTTTAAGCTTATCTTTTGTTAATTAAAGTTTTAGAGTTCCATCTTACTGTTTGGGTCCACGGACAGCCTGATCTGATAGCGATCCGGAGTCAAAGCTTACTACTATAAATAAATATTACTCCAATAATAATTTAGTTTTGAATTTGTTATAAATAATTACATACTTTCACCGATCCTAAAAGCTCAAATATGTGTTGACTGTTTTTTCCCCAAAATATCTTTACGAGTTTTTCAATTGTCTAGTTTTAAGAACAATTTTTTTACTTTAATTAATGTAGTCAATTAGCTTTTTAAAGGCGTCACATCTGGAAAGTTAAATTTATTTTAGACTGAAAGGAGTATTTAATGTAAATTTTTGAACATAAATATGTACTTTTTAAGTAAAAGCTACTTGCGCAAATCAAACCCATTATTGAGCTTCTGCCTCAGTCCCTATGGCGATCCACTATTTCTTTACTTAATTAATTTTGCGTTTAGTTTGAAATTTATTGTAATTTTACGATTAAATCTGAAGTTTAACTTTTATGTTGGCCTAATAATTAATGGGTTTAACGTACTTTCTTGTTTGGGTTCAACACTTTAACCTCAATGGTCGGAACAAGTTAATTTGAGATAAATTATTTCACTATGTATATGAGATAACTTATCAATCACTAAGATTTAAATACTAGGATAAATAATCCAAGGATTACTTAATACCTTCCAACCAAACCTATGGTGAAATAATCCTCCATTTTATCTTGAAATTTTTATATCTTATACTTCACTCCAAATGACTTCTAATATTATGGAACCTCCGCTTGTCTACTTTATATATATATATAAAAAAAAAGATGTGTAAGTTTTGTCCGTTGCACTGACAAATTTTTTATTTTCCTTTTCCAGTTTTGTGAATTGAATTTAATATTTTTCCGAAAAAAGTGTTAATCCTTACTACTACTTTAGAACTTCCTAATCCTGACAAATATTATAATTTTCTGCTTCGGTTATTACAGTCGGAGGATCCAATGCAGTATAAAGTTTTGAAAATTACTGTCCTTGGTATCATATTTGCTGCTTCAAATATTTAATTTTAAGATAACAATGAATTTAACCACCAATTTTTTAATTAGTTAAGGTAACCTTGGGCCAACGGTAAAGTTGTCTCAGACTTGTAGGCCACGGTAGAATCAACCACTGATGCTTGGATGATGGTAGATTGCTTACATTTGCATTACTTTGGAAAGTGGGGATGCACTAGACTTTCTTTGTAGTGAAATTCTGTTGCTGTAAATGCCAGTTTACCTATGCTATTCATGCATCAGTTTTGTAGTTTACTTGCCTACTTTTAACTCTTGAATGCCCTCTTGTTGCAGGGATCAACAGTGTTGTGGTTAACAGCAATGATTCCGAAAGCCAGGCCTCCGCCTTGCAATCAAACAGGACAGGCTTGTAATTCTACAACGGGACCACAATACATGCTCTTGGTTTTCTCGTTTCTGCTCTTGTCAATTGGTGCTGGAGGTATAAGACCATGTTCTTTAGCCTTTGGTGCAAACCAGTTTGACAAGGGAGGTAGCGATCCCAACAAACAGACAGTGTTGGAGAGCTTCTTTGCCTGGTATTATACTTCATCTGTAGTCTCTGTTCTGATTGCCCTAACGGGTATCGTTTACCTTCAAGACAGACTTGGGTGGAAAATAGGTTTTGGAGTTCCTGCAATTCTCATGTTCTTATCCGCGTTGTTTTTCTTCCTTGCTTCTCCGTTTTATATCAAGCCAAAGGTTCGCTCAAATGTGTTTGCCAGCTTTATACGAGTAATTGTGGTTGCCTTCAAGAATAGGAAACTACATTACCCCAATCAGAACTCTGATTATCATCACAAGAATGGTTCAGGACCTCAAGTGCCAACGGAGAAATTGAGATTCTTAAACAAAGCTTGCATCATTAAAAGCCCTGAAGATGTTAATCCAAACGGAGTTGCAGCCAATCCATGGAACCTTTGCACAGTGGAGCAAGTTGAGGAGCTAAAAGCCCTCGTTAGAATCGTGCCATTGTGGTCAACAGGGATCATGATATCAATAAACTTGAGCCAAAGTTCATTCCCACTACTACAAGCTCAATCCATGAATAGACATCTAACTAAAGGATTCCAAATTCCAGCAGGGTCATTCGGGATGTTTTTGATGATTGCATTAACAATTTGGGTATTACTGTATGACCGCGTGATGCTTCCATTGGCATCAAAGATCAAAGGAAGACCAGTTCGTCTAAAACCTATAGTCAGAATGGGACTTGGTATATTCGTGTCTTGCATGTCCATGGTAGTCTCTGGTATTATCGAAAATATTCGACGAAGAAGAGCAATCAGTGAAGGGCTGTTGAACAACTCGCAGGGGTTGGTGGAGATGTCAGCAATGTGGCTCATTATACCAAACAGTTTAAACGGTATAGCAGAGGCGTTGAACGCGATTGGCGCCACAGAGTTCTATTATTCAGAGCTCCCAAAGAGTATGTCAAGTATTGCATCAGCTCTTTTAGGACTGGGAATGGCAGTTGCAAATCTTTTAGCAAGTGTTGTTTTGAGTGCTGTGGATAAGTACACGAAAGGAGAAGGGAAAGAAAGTTGGATTTCAAGCAATATCAACAGGGGACACTATGAGTATTACTACTGGCTTCTTGCTCTAATGACAGGTTTTAATCTGCTTTATTTTGTGGTTTGTTGCTGGCAATATGGACCTTCTGTTGATGTTGACATCACTATGAGAATGATGGAACCTAGCGACGATGAAGATGACGATGACGATGAAGATAAAGATGATTTGCCTAAGAAGAATAAATCTACACCTGACTTGAATTCCTGCTAGGCTATTCTCTTATTACATTGTTGATACATAGTACTAGTATTTATACAGAATTGCTATTACATTTTTAGCTACTACTAGTATAGTATATTATATAGTCCACTTTCCCTAATTCGTTCTTTTCAGCCACCAAAATATTCAGCATGATTTGAGCAGTATGCTTATTTAATTTATTTATCTGAAGAATCAAAATATAAAAAAACTAATTCATACTGATTTATGATCAAATAATTGATAAATTGATAATTGATAAATTGCGTAACTATCAATGGATAACCATTTATGTTGAATTGTTAAAAAGTCGCTTAACCAAATTACCTCATTATTCGTGAAGAGATGAATCTCAAATAGGCATTTTGTTATTTTCCCCAATTCTGGAGAGATGCACTTGCAGGCAATAGTTTTATGCTTTATTTTATCACACTACCAAATAATATGACAAAAGTATAATTAGTTTTAATATACTAGTCATTATCTTTTGAGAACAGAGGTTAAAAAAAAACAGATCATTGGAAGTACTAGAGGGCTGGGGTGGGTGGTGGAGTTGGGTTATTGGGTAGTGGATGGGGTAGAGTAGAGTAAGAAAAAAAAATGTTTTTTTTTTATTCTTTAATTTTGAAATTTTAGCATATACTTATTTAATTTTTTAAATATATATACTCTTGAGTAAATTAAATAATTATATTTATACCATTTTGTATATAAAGTCCTTGACTTAGAGTTTAGTCTCCTACTTTTATTTATGGCTATCTCAAAATCTTGGTTATTCTACATTGTAAAAGTGTTTGCTTTTGAGCAAAGATGCAACTTGTGAACTCATGTACATGATTCATTCGATTTGTTACCTTGTTTCTAAGTGATTTTCATTAATTTATTTTTCTATCAAATCTTAACGGTTAAACCAATAATCAAATCGATAATGATCAATAACCGATAAACCAATAACTGATAAGTCAATATTTTAATGGTTCTATAACGGTTTAACATCTCTACAAACCGATAACCAATAAGTCAAACCAATATACTTCAAAACCAAATCGAATCGACCGATACACAACGAATGACACTCTAAACCCATCAATATTTGTTTTATTGACATTTTAATTTGTTCCAATAAACTCTTGGATTCATTTTGGACCCTTTTATTAAAAATAAAAAAAATAAAAAATCTTTTTATTATAAGTTGAGACCTTGTGAGAAGGAGATAGTGGGACCAGCAGCAAGGAAAATAAATTAGTACTTGTCTTAAAAATTGTAAAAGAGAAATAACTACAATTAAGGATAATAATAAATTAGGAACTATATATTAAATTATTTATTAATTTTATAAAGTAAAGGAAGGGCTTAGAAGAGCCAAGAATCTCAAGAAAAATAAAGAAGACCTCTTTTCTTTGTCTTGATTTTGTTCGAAAGGACCCTCTTATTCTCATGACCTGATCTGGTCAGTACCCAGCCGGGCCTCTTTTGTTCCAATGAATTTGAAAACAAAAATGTCTGTTATAGGTAAATGTGAAATACTTATACAAATAAAAATGCGGGAGAGATAAAAAAGATGCAGGGTCGTTTGTCTGCTTGGCTAGTCAAGCATGGGCTAATTCATAGATCTTTGGGCTTTGATTACCAAGGAATAGAGACTTTACAAATAAAGCCCGAGGATTGGCATTCCATTGCTGTCATTTTTTATGTATATGGGTACAACTATCTACGCTCTCAATGTGCCTATGATGTAGCGCCTGGCGGGCTGTTAGCTAGTGTGTATCATCTTACGAGAATAGAGGATGATGTGGATCAACCAGAAGAGCTATGCATAAAAGTATTTGCCTTCCGGTTTAGGTGGACAACCTGGCAAATATACATCTACAGGAATTAGCTTATCGACTCCCCGAACAGTACTATAAGAATCGGTACTGAACATCCCGCCTGTAATTGTACAGGCTCCCATAGCAATAACATATTTTGGTTCGGGCATTTGCTCATATAATCTCACAAAAGAGGGGGCCATTTTCATTGTTACTGTTCCGGCTGTTAAAATTAGATCCGATTGTGTAGGACTCGATCTTGGTACGAGTCCATAACGATCAAAGTCGAAGCGTGAGTCTTTGGCTAGCTTTTTACTTATGAGGCGCTTAGGCTTAAGAGCGAGTGCAAATACTCGACGCCGTGAATCAAGAAATTCGGGTGATATACATACGAAGGCGTTGGTCCATCGGTGCCTTAGGGGATTGAGTGCTGTTTGAACTATTGATTTACGTAATTGGAAATAACCAATTAGGTTTACGGCGAAACCTAGAAATCGATCACTGATCCAATTTGAGTACCTCTGCAGGATATACCTCAACAGAAAACTTAACGTGGATAAGTATTATTAAACATATCAAAATAGTATAATAGACAACTATTATTAAACGGTGAGATGTCTTTTTATTATAAGCTGAGTAGATAGTGGGACCAGCAGCAAGAAAAAGAAATGCAACCTTCCACATTGAATGCAAGTACAGCTACACATTCCTTAATTAAATGTACCGAGTTGAAATTTTAGATATAAAAAATTATTTAATAAGGAACGCTTTCTTAAAAGAGAAAAAAAAACTTTCAAACAAAATCACTTTTTAGGTCAACTGTTTAGACTACTATTTATTACTTTTTTTTTTCTTTTTATTATGGCCACGCGGGGTTGAAAAAAGGTCCTAAATAGTTTGCTTTCAATTATAATAAATACTCTACAACTCTACTGAAAATTATAGAATAATAATTATAGGGAAAAAAAAATTTGGTCAGAAAATTTGATCAAAATTGGTAAAATAAATATGTTATTTTATCTTTTTGAACATTTTAACCTTTTCAACTTTAATATCTTTTAATTAAAAATTGACAAAAAGATCAGTTTATTTTTAAATAAAAAAGATATTATAAATTTTTTAAATTTCTGGCCATTTAGCATTACCCATAATTAGAACAACTTTAAATATTAATTGAGAATTTGATTAACTCTTGAAATTTCACCCATGACATTTGAGTCAGTATAGATGAATAACACATCATTGAAATTTAAAATTTATGTAAAATGCACTATAAATCATAATAATTAATTTAAGATATTTTTAAAAATATATTAGAACTTTAGTTGATTCTCAAATTTTTACTTGTGTCATCATAAATTGAGACAGAAAGAATAACATATATTATTTGAAAATTACGTTAAAAATACTACTCTTTCTGTTCAACAATACTTGTCCTCTCTTGACTTTGCACATTTCTTAAGAAACTATAAATAAAAGAGTAATTTTACTATATCACCCTTTGAATATACTCCCTTCGTCCACTTTTAATTGTCATGGTTTTCTTTTTTAGAGTCAAACTATAAGAATGTTGACTAACACTTTATGATGAATTTTTTTTTTATCATATTGATATGCCAAAAATTGCAATTAAAAGTACTTTTCGTATATTTTTTTGTTTAAAATATCGAATTAATGTAATCTAATTTAACTTTGAAAATTAGTCAGATTGACTTTCGAAAAGCGCAACATAACAATTAAAAGTAGACAGAGGTAGTAATAAATACAATGTCTTGAAAAATATAAAAGGAAATGACTATAATTAATGATACCGATAAATTAGGAACTAAATGTAAAATCATACTTTGATTTCATAAAGTGGACAAGTATTGTTGAACATCCCAAAATAGTATAGTGGACGGCTATTGTTGGACATAGAGAAAATAAATTACAATACTTTACATTTTTATTTTTAAAAAAATTATATATATATATTGTTAAAGAGTTATCGCTTTAGCGGTTTTGATAATAAACTTAATTTTTTTATATCACGTTATCCATTTTTGACAAGCCAATCAATAACTCGATAGTAAATTGATAAATTATATCGCTTTAATTTGAGTAAATAAAGTCAGGATTTAGTTTCATACTTTCATTTATAACTGTCTCAAACTCCTAGCTATTCTACAAGATTACAATATTTGTTTTGAATGAGATGTAATCTGTAACCTCATGTTCATGATTTATTTGATTTGTTACTTGTTTCTAAGTGTTTTACCATAATTTTAAAAATTATAATATTTTAAAGGTTAAATCAATAATCAAATTAATTATGATCAAATAATTGATAATTGATATCTTAATAATTCAATAACAATGGAACCGAAATAAGTCACCTAATATAATGTAAAGGTCATAAAGAGGATTTATTCTTTCTAGATTAAATATTACTTCTCTGTCCACTTTTTATTATCATGTTGTGTTTTTCGAAAGTTAATTTGACTAATTTTAAAAATTAAATTAGATTACATTAATGTGATATTTTAAACATACAATTTAGATAATCAAAAACTACAATATATCACATTAGGATTGCATATCGATCGGTTCGATTCGGTTAAAATATTGGCTTATCAGTTATTGATTTACCAATTTTTGATCGTTATCGGTTTAACTGTTAAGATTTGACAACAAAAAAAAATGAAAATCACTTAGAAACAAGGTGACAAACCAAATGAACCGTGCACATGAGTTCAAAAGTTACATCTTGCTCAAAAACAAACATTTTTACATTGTAGAATAACCAAGTGTTTGAGACAACAAAAAATAAAAGTAGGAAACGACCCTCTAAGTCAAGGACTTTATATACAAAATGGTATAAATATAATTATTTAATTTACTATCGAATTATCGGTTAACTCATTAGAAAAAACCTCAAACCGTTAAGAACCGATAATCCGATAAGAAAAAAAAATCAAAACCGTTATCAAGACCGCTAAACCAATAACCCAATATGATAAATCAATAACTTTTTTTCGATTCGAATTATCGATTTCGGTTCGATTTTGAATAGCCCTATATCACATCATATATAAATGGTCTATTCTCTTTATTTATCCACTTTCGTCTTGACCCTTAGTCTTCATCCATTTATTGTTACAGTATTATATAGGGAATTTTTTAATTATTAAGGCAAATCAAAACGAATCAAATTAACGGAATGGTTTTAGAGAAAACTGGAAGGGGCAAGTTTTTTTAAAAGGAGAAAAAAAAAATTAGATCATAGAGATGTGCCACATCACTTTCTATATATCTAACTTTATATTATATATAG